AAAGCTAGCTTCCGTACTAGAACATGGTGTCATTCGTCGAGATAATTTATCGTTTTGTTTAATAGATCAAGAAATGTAAATATTCCCCTGTTATTTTTTATAAAATTATAAGAGAAATAAATTTTTTTCTAAATAGTATAGTTTATTATTTTGTAGAAAAACAAAATTTCGAAAATTTTAGTAATGTTTCAGAAACAACCGTTATAAATAATAGGTACCATTTTCCTTAATAAGGTAGAAATAAAATATAAACTATTTCCACGATTTACAAAGGTCTACAAAAAAAATTATAGGTATTTTCCGCTATCCTATAAAATTTATATTTTCTGACTCAATTTCAAAAGGTTGAAGGAATTCCAAAACACCTTTTATGGCATAATAATTATTTTCAATTCTACATACTTACTATCTTTAGCTGCTTTTAAAAACGTTCTAAGAAAGTCCAATCAGACCAATTTAATCCCTAAACTATTCCACACTTTTAAAATTTAATTACCTAAAAATATTAAAAACTATTTAAAATAACTTGTTTAGCAGACTGTACAATAGCTATCTTACTCACACGTAGCGCGTTCTCTGTCTGGGCGTCGAACACCTCTAGAAATTTGATGAACTGTAAGTTATAATATCTTCAGAACGGCTCACTCTATGAAAAATAAATTAAAACTTTTTTGTAGAGCGTTCAATTTCCTACCAAAATAATAATAACGCCACGTCCTGCAACGTCATTGACAACTTTCAATTTTTCGAAAAACTCCCCATTATCTTGACAAATTTCATTATCTGGCCAAATTAGTACATCTTCATCCAGAAAGTCGTACGGCAAATCAAATTTATCAAAAAGTTTCAATGATTGTTTTGAAACAAAGTCACTCATATTTTTGTTTAAAAATATTTCTGGTAAACTTTTGTCTTCTGTGCGTCGTTATTTTTTTTTTTTTTCTATATGAAAATAATGTTTTCTTGAAAATTCCACACCTGTAATTTTGAACCAATCAAAATACGTGTTTTTGACAGATCACCATGGCAACGGAGGTATTTTAGTGGGAATTTTTTTCTCGTGGGGTACCCAACAGCGAATTATACTGGAAATTTTTTGACGTTTACAATAACAGACCATTTTTGACAGACTGGTTTTTATTTGTTCACATAATAGGTTTAGTTTTGATACATTTTAGTTACAATGCTAAGGTGTTTTCTATATTCTTCGGCCACTTCTTTTCTTCTTAATGGCGAAAATGCAGGACTTTGGATGCTTTGAATTATGTGTCTATGTCTAATAAAATATATATAATATTTAGACACTAATTTATTCACCTTTTTCCCATTCAGCACTTTGAATTTTGCGTAGTTTAGGTGCAAATATTCGTGGACAATTCGGAACAAATTTTCGTTTTTCAAGTTGGAGCCACAATCCTCTATTAATCCGAGTAAGTAAGTCATGGTGCAATGATTGATCATTACATCAGACAATTTCACGCATATTTTGCATAGCGTATGATTTTCAAATCGATTCATTTTTAAACAAATAGGTAATTTTGTTGGTTTTACTTGCTGTGCAATATTCTTTATCGCAACAAAACGCGAGTTATTTAATGTTTTGAACTGTCAAAATACAATGATCACAGCCTCCTACGATTGATGCTTGCTGACGCTGGTTATGAATTTCATACCATTTTAAAGCGCTCATAACGCATGTTAATAAAAACGCTGAAAAACAATTTTCTACCACTTGTAGTTATTCAAAACTTACGTAAAATTAAAGAATATAGGTACTATTTTCTATTTTCAAATGGTATTCCCATGCATCTACAATGAGTAGAAATAAGCAATTTGAAGGCCTAAATAATTGCAGCGAAACATTTTTTTACGTCGGGCCGCTTGACAACTTCAAAACTGAAATTATATTCGAGGTTAGGGTCTCACTTAGCTACCATGACAACTCAACAATCAAGGCGACAACACCTTTTATGTTTCACTGGTGACTTGGAGAAAATAATTTGCATTGTTGAGAAACGAAAAATAAATTTTAAAAATATTTAATTTTCAACCATAATTCGGCGTGGAATTTTCTTACCGAATACCACGCGAGGTCATCAGTTTAATAAAATAAAAGACCTAATTTCATACATTTGCAACTTTAAGTTTAAGTAACTCTATGAAAAAAATTAATTAGAACTTTTTGTAGAGCGTTCAATTTCCTACCAAAATAATTTTTCACTTTATTTTTACAATGCTTAAATGTCAAGCTACAAAAATAAGAAAAAAGAAAAAAAATTTTCCATGTTATTTAGATGGAAAATGGAAAGTTAGGAACAGACGCCACTAAATGATAATATTAAGAGCTCAAATTTTTAGAGGCTTCTTTTTTCACCTCCTTGAAAGTTTTTAGCCTGTTTTTTAGTAGAAAAAAAAAAGTTCCTCAAAAATGACACACCCTAATAGTCATAAAAAATATTTTACTCAAAAACTAAGGTGTATATTATACAAATTTAAACAAATTTCATACCATCTGCAATATGAACAAAAACTAATGGTTTACCGAAGTTTAGTAGAAACTCACTTTATATACGGATTAGTCAGTTGGGGTGGAGTTGCTCGTACCTACTGCAACATTCTCGAGATTTCGCAAAAAAAGATTTTTAAAAATTCTTCTTAACAAAACCAGAAGATATTCTAGCGAGTTGCCCTATGCCGAAACAAAGATATTCGATGTTCGATAATTATACTTCATAAATATTATAATAAAACAACATACACTCAGATCGAATTTGCAAATTCGAACTCACGAACATATGACAAGAAACAGGAATACTTACTTAAACACAATAACAAAAAAATCTATTGGACAAAAAAGTTTCTTTTTCTTGGACCTAAATTATATAACGCTGTACCTGAAAAAATTAAATCTGAACCTTCTATAGATTAAAAACGACATTAAAAAAATACATACAGAGTACGACTAGAAACGTCATACATAACCTAGTTGAAAGTAGCTAATAGCAATGTTTTTATCTATTCTATTCAAGTCAAACTGTCATTGAAATTTTTTAATAAATAACAATCTAAATGTTTTTCTTGTGTTAAAAATTATATTTTGCGTTTCCTTTTATTTATATATTAATATTGTATATTTTATTAACATCTATATTTTAAATTTTTTCATTTACTTTTAATATAGTATATTTTATAAGTATTTATAGCATTTCTCTTGCAAACAAGCATTTGATGCTTCGCAAGAGTATGTGTTTATTTGCAGTTATCAATAAGACACTGCACTTTATATTTATTGTAATTTCTGTGAATAAATATTTTTGATTTTTTTTTTTATTTTTGAGAGAATACATGAAATGGCAAAAGATGACATTATGTGAACACTTTAAGACATGCAAATTTTCCATGCAACCGATGAATCAAAAAAATAACGAAGCTCTATTATCATACGTTCGATTTATAAAGGAAGAAAAAATTTATCCCAAGCTATTATTTGCTAAAAATTTGAAAATTGATACAAAGGGAAAAAACTATATTTAATAACATGCAAAAGTTTTTTCAAGAGAAAGAAATCCCTATTCACAATATTTTGAAGGCAGCTATTGATGGTGCGCCAGCAATGACAGGACATCATAAGGGTTTCATAGCGCATTTCAAACAAGCAGTACCAAATGTACTCGCTGAACATTGTATTATTCATCAACAGCATTTAATTGCAAAAAAATTGAACGTCTGCATACGTGACTCCATTATATTATTAGAACAAACAAAAAGATTAGAAGCAATTCATGGAATGACCGATTATTTGGTCAGCTTTGTAGTAAAAATGATGAAGAGTATAATTTACTGCTGCACATAGAAGTACGTTGGCTCTCTAAAAGTGTTTGTCTGAATCGTTAAGTGACATCGCATATTTGTCAGACTTATTTGAAGTTAATTAAAACAAAAAGCGTCATAGCGCTTTTGCGGGAAAACTTCTTTTATTCAAACGAAATCTAGGAAGAGGTGAATACAAACACTTTCCTACATTATAAACAGTCTCTACGAAACAGGAAAGTTTTACTTACTTCAAACAATTAAACGTACCGCGTTGGGTTTTAGCTCCTTTCACAAATGCAGATACTGAAGATTCATCAAAGAGGAACTTAAAACCCGGGTTTGATAAATTTTTTACTCTTTTCTTAAATATTTTTGGTGCTTTTTTCAAGTAAATATCCATCGCTTTCTATTTCCACGTCTTTTGTTCGTTGGATTTAAATTGTTGAAAGACGAACCCGAACTCAGGGGGCGTCCCGCAAGCCGGACGTCATTAGAGCTATAATATTATTCACCTTTTTTCAATTAGTTTTATTTCAATAAACATTTAACAGATTAAACGGAGCAATTTTTAAAAGTATAATTTATCAGAAGCCCTATTTTCCTACAAATTTGACTTTCGCTCAGTGCGTGACAGTAGCGCCAATTCATTTATGTACTAATGGACTATTTTTGCGTATACTGACGATACAATTTTTAATAAAATTCGTAATTAAAAAGTACATATGTTAGCTTTAATAAAAGTATATGGATTTGTAAAACAAGTGAAACATTAATTTATTATTATTATATATTTTTATCGCTTAAACTAAAAAAAAAAAAAAAAAAAAACTAAGTATAACCAATAATAAAATATATGAGAAGTTGCCTAAGTTTAATAAGTTGTCTTTAAAGAATTAACCTATTGTTAAAATAATAAAAAAAAACATTAAATAAAAGCGATAAGTTAAAATGTATAAACAGAGGGATTGTTATTTATATTTTCATTTTTGTTCGTAAGAAAACATATAGTGCAGGCGCTAAAAGAAGTTGAGTATGCAAAATGTGAGGACCAGCAACTATGTTTAAATTCTTTTACCTGAGACACCAAACAAAAAATAAACCCATGTGGCCGGCAAAATAATTGAACAAAATAAGAAACTATCCAAATATAAAACCTTATAAAATAGTAGCAGAAATACTGATCTTACCTCTTCTTCATATTTAAAGAACCTCCCATCGGGACTGACGGCGATCGGCCTATACACATCGTCATCATCTTCCACCTTCCCCTCTTTCGACAGATTCACCACCACGACACTCTGTTCGACCATATCCGGATTGTTCTCCGCATTCTCGTCGTTCCTGTGCAACTCGTCGATCGTCTGTTCCGTAATTTCCGTCATTTCGGTGCTGAGGAACAGATTTTTTGGGATGTTGTACATCGCTCCCACTTCCAGCAGCCGCTTATCATTCTGAACGATGTCCGATTCATCCTCGGCGTTCGAATCGGTTTCGATGGGAATCAAGCTGATAACGCCGCCGTGTTTGACGGATTTGTCTTTTTTCTTTTTATTCTTTTGCTTTTCGGTGATGATGCGATCGACGGTTACGCTTAGTTCGTTCATGACCTACAAAATTGCGTACTTAATTATTGGTTTGACGCATAACTTAAATTTTTGTATCAAATCATTTGAGTAGACAGGAGCCCGAGTTGGGGCATCAACAGGTAGTTGCAGATAAGCAATGGGAATCTTTTATATGCACCTTTTTATACATTTTTAATATGTTTCTCATTGAAAAAAGTCAAAGAGAAAACCTTCGACAAAAAATGTTAGTTTTGTCCTATGAGTGACTCTGAGGTGAAAGAATGCAAAAGGCGTTTAAATATTCTATTTACAATGAGCAGAGTGGATAACAGGTTTTGGAATGGTTATAAAAAGGTAAAGAAAGAGTATAACAAGAAACTATTAACTAGAAAAAAGAAAGCATTTGGGAAACGACTATCTGACTCAGACAATAAAGCTAAAACAATATGGTAAATAGTGAGTAATATAAATGGCAAAAATAACCAACATAATATACAAATAGCGGGGGAGACGTCAACAGTACGCATTATGAGTACAAGACCACCATAACTCAAAATTTATCGATTTTGAGATTTGTGCGGTATTATAGTGTTCTAGATGCTAACTTTGATAATACAATACCAACATATCTCTAAATCGAAAAAATGTCCTATAAATAACAGAAGTGGTACTATTGAATTTTTCCTGAAAATACTTTTTCTGATACATCAACTAAATTTTGCTTGATAACTAAAGAGAAGGTCATAAATGAGGGTTTAAAGAATCATGAAATCCAAATAAATAAAAATTTAATAGATAGCATTTAAAAAACTGTAAAACAAAAAATCTGAAAACTTTAAACGACATTTTCTCAGTCGATTGTTTTTTGAGTTATGGTGGTCTTGTACTCATAGTGCGAGTAGCAAACAATTTTCTGACTTTTCTTGAAAAGTCAATAACAGATGTAATCTCTGGCCTAAGTAATAGTAATTATGTAAGTACAATATCTAAGGTTTGTTCCAACACAATAGCAAATCGGTTTTCGTACTGTCGGGATTCTGCGCAATCTAGATTTGGTGTTCCAACAAACTTCGGACTCAAAACTGTACAAAAACCTAGTGTTCCAACACACCCAAACCTAATCACAAACCATTTTCTGTACTGTCAAATCAGCTCCTGGGTGTGAGTATGAACGAATTGTCAAGATATGCGCAAAACGAAAGTGAGCTCGTAAATAAACCACCACCAACTCTAAAAATCGAATAATTAAAATTTATAAATCTTTTCATGAGTTTTATAATTTTTTTACTTCCCAAATTCAAAATTTTACATTTTTTAAATTTGCTTTTACTTTGACGTTATTAACAGAGTGTGTCTGACAACACAAAAATGTGTTCCAACACATCCAAGTTCCGAATCGCGTCCCAATCCTCGACAGGTCGTGGACAGGTCGTCGACTATCAGTCGTCGATAACAAATTGTGGACTAGTTTATGTATGGTCCCAAAATTGTTGTTGGAACAAACCTCTAGTAACTTAAAGTCTATATTTGTAATTCCAGTAACTGCAATGGAAATTGTAGAGATTAGGAAGAAACTCAAAAATAAAATGAATAGTGGTATAGATGAAGTACCAACAGAAATTATTAAAAAATGTATTGAGCAAATTGTGATTCCACTAGTATATACAGGGTGTCATTGAAATAGTGTAAAAAAATTCGGGAGGTGATAGTACTCCTAAATCTAGTAAAAAAAGTTCCTATAACTATGGGTCGTTAAATACATAGTAAGGGATTTGGGGGCGTCAAAAGGACAAACTTGGAAAGTGGTTTTTTTGAAATAGTAAGCTTAAAAAACACGATAAAACTTCGAAAAAAATAATCCCTGTTGACCTAAAATTTACTGCTGAATCCAATGGTAATATCGAAAAATTACTTATTTAATCAGAAAGGGTAGTTCTCGCAAGGGTAAGGGGTCGATTTATGATTAACTTTTTAGGGGTTGATTTTTTTACAACATGGGTCTATTTTTTAAAAACAACTACCTTTTTTCCATAAAAAAGTTACTCTTATTGCAAGTCGCTTAAAGCAACCGTTTTCGAGAAAATTGAAGGCAAAGAGTTTGGTATACCTGTAGTTGAAAAACGAAAAGTAAAATTACTTATTTTTTTATGGGTATCTTACAGATTAATAAACATAAATTTATGAAAATTGTGACGTTTTAAACTAATCAACCTCCCAAAAAACCCATAAACACTAAAGAAAAAAAATATTTTCAAGTAATGTCGAAGAAATTTTATTATGAAAAATTATTTTTTGTCTGTGGGTCAATTTTTTTCTCTCAACTTTACAATCGGAAGGTAAGTGGCAACCCAAACCCCAGAAGAAATTTGTGGGCACGCCACTGTCAATGAATACTTTTTGTAAATGGAATAATCAAATTAGGACAGAACAATAGCTATGTACATGGCCTTATCATAATTTTTTTATTTTAATTTAGCAAAAAGAAATTGTAAATAATTTTGCCTAAAATTATTCTGGTTTTTAAGTATTTTTGTCAGTGTACGTGAGCGTACTATACCAGAAATTATGGAATACACTGTACTTGAACTGACAGATAAGCATTTTATTTATGGAAGAGCGAACGGAAACGGACTTTTAGCTAAACGTTTGTATATTCAAAAATATCCAAATCGCAGAGCACCTTCTCATAGGATATTTGCCAGAGTCCATCAGCGCCTGAAAGACGAAGGTTCATTTAGTAACAGGCACCATGATCGCGGCCGTAATGTTACAGTGCGTACACCAACAATTGAAGAGTGAATTTTAAGAAGTGTAGAGGAAGATCCAGGGTTATCTGTAAGGAGAATTGCAGCGCGAGAAAACGTGAGTCGCCATACTGTGTGGATGACTCTTCATACTCAACTGCTGTATCCATACCACATCCAAAGGGTACAAGCCCTTAATCCTCCAGACTATCCCACTCGTGCCAATTTCTGTCGTTGGTTATTAAGAAAACTGGTAGAAGATCCCTTTTTTCTGTCAAACATTTTATGCACTGATGAAGCAGGGTTTACCAAAAATGGGATTGTTAATTACCACAACACCCATTACTGGTCCGATCAAAATCCTCATGCTGTCATAGAAAGCCGACACCAAGTTCGATTCTCAGTAAACGTTTGGGCGGGAATTCTTGGAGATAGACTTATTGGACCATTCTTTCTACTCAATGGTTAAATTTTAAAACTGTTTAAACGTCACCAATTCCTAATTATTATTATTCTTTTAGGCTTAATGGACAAAATTACCTTCATTTTTTGGTAAACCATTTACCAGTACTTTTGGAGGAAGTTCCAATAGCACAGAGGCAGATTATGTATTTCATGCACGATGGTGCACCACCTCATTTTCCACTAGCCGTGAGAAATCATTTAAATCAAGTTTTCGAGAGGCGTTGGATAGGACGTGGTGGTCCACAAGCTTGGCCAGCCAGATCACCAGATCTTAATTCACTTGATTTCTACTTATGGGGTCACTTAAAAGCTTTGGTTTACTCAGTGCCGATTAATACTGAAGAGCAACTACGACAACGGATAATTGACTGCTCCAATCAAATTCGTACAACGCCAAGGATTTTCGATAGGGTACGCAGATCCTGGATGAGAAGAGCAGGTGTCCATATTGAAATGAATGGAGGCCACATTGAACATTTACTTTAAATAAGAGTCAGACTGATATGATAAAAAAAATACGGTACTTTCCATAATAGTAATAAAATATTTTTCACTTTAATTTCTCTCTCTTTTATTAATTAAAATAATTTCGGCGCTTCTCTTGTTTAACAGGGCGATTTGGTAATTCTAAATTGAAATAACCACGCCATAATTTTCATAAATTTATGTTGATTAACCTGTGAGCAACCCATCAAAAAATAAATACATACTTGTTTTTCAAATACGGGTTCAGTAAAATGTTTGCCTTCAATTTTCTCAAAAACCATTGCTTTAAGCGACTTGCAATAAGAGTACCTTTTTTACGAAAAAAAAAAAAAAAAAAGGTAGTAGTTTTTAAAAATAGACCCATGTTGTAAAAAAATCAACCCCTAAAAAGTTAATCATAGATCGACCCCTTACCCTTGCAAGAACTACCCTTTCTGATTAAATAAGTAATTTTTCGATATTACCATTGGATTCAGCAGTAAATTTTATGTCAGCAGTGATTTTTTTCGAAGTTTTATCGTGTTTTTAAGCTTACAATTTCAAAAAAACCACTTTCCAAGTTTGCCTTTTTGACTCTCCTAAATCCCTTAATATGCATTTGACGACCCATAGATATAGGAACTTTTGTTACTAGGTTTAGGAGTACTATCACCTCCCAATTTTTTTTACACTATTTCAATGACACCTTGTATAATAAATAACTCTTTTCAATTTGGGGTGTTTCCAGATTAATTAAAAATAGCCTGTGTAGTACCCGTTTTCAAAAAAAGTGACGTAAAAAAGGCGGAGAACTACAGAAAAGTTAAATCAACATAGTTATCAGCATGGGAAATCTATATTCTGATCAAATGGTGTTAAAATGTCATTCTATTCAAAGTTGAAGAGCATAAAATTCTGCGTCGGAAAACCTCCCTAACTTTCAAATTAAATCGATTTATAACGTCGCCTTCGTCAGTCGAAAAAAGCCAATTTTTGGCAACTTTTGTGAAAACTGCAAGAAACTCACTTTTAGACGTCTGTGATGTGAAAACAGCTACTCTACGTAAAAAAACTCGCAGAACAAAAGTTGTAAAGCATCAAATTTTGCGTTCATTGAGCATCGAAATTTTAAATTTTGATCCGTATATACGCATATACTGATAATTTCTTCATTTTCTCTCTAAGAGCTTATTTGACCAATATGAAGGAGTTTCGCAAACTTTTGTGTAAACTGCAATAAACTCACTTTTAGACGACTGATTTTAAAACAGCCACTGTAATAATAATAATAATAACGGGTCTTTATTTGCACAAAATAATTACATTTTTGTACAGTTAGCATGGGCGAGGTTTAGCCTGTGGCTATTCTTACACCTGTACGTGAAAAACTAGCCAAATTTTCCACAAATCGCACAATCTCGCAACACTGCCGTTCGGCGCCGTTGTTAAGCTTAATTTATAACCGCCGTAACGTAACTTAAGTACTTAACGTAAGAAGTTAAAATATTGAATTTACGTATTCTTATTTATAAAGTTCGTAACGTAACTTAAGAACTTAACGTACCGTAGAAAGTTCGCCAACTTTTAACTTAACAACTTAACTTAAGACAAGACCTTACGGTTAGCCAATGAGATAATTCTGAGTTCAGCATGTGATAACTGTCAATTATTCTCTTTTTATTTTTTTATAAATTAATAGACATACCATTTGTAAACTATCATTCTCCTTTTTGATGGACATACATCATGAATGATTTGTGTTTATGTTATTGGGGATAAACTATTTATGAGATATGAGTGTTACTACATATACCTATAATTAAACATCAAGTCTAGAACTGAAATAGACACAAAACTAGTTTGCTAGGAAATATTAAATTCTCATTATTGCTCAAAAACAATCAACATCTTCGGTAAACTATTCTGTTTTATTATATTTTTATACTATTGCTTTTAAAGTAGTTAATATTTTCTTTCTATACAGCAAAATTATAATTTATAAGTTTTATTTAGAGGTTAGGTACACATAGTTTACACTTGTTTATTTCATAAGGTTGTCAGTAATTTGATAATCTCTGAAATCAACACGCATGCTCAACTCTTACGTTACGGACATTTATAAATAGACTTTATTTTTATATCTTAGGTTAAGTTTCTACGGCGTTAAGTTAAGTTACGTTACGGTGGTTATAAATTATACTTTAGACCGATAGACCGTTTCACAGTTATCAGTTTTGGTGGCCCTGTACGGGGCTAACCATCTAACTTCCTTGAATGCGCTGCGATACAAGCAGTACGTGACATCTGCCTTCAAGTTTTCCAGCAACATTGCGTCTATGCCTCCCACCGATGCTGCAACCTACTAGCATAGCTTGCGTGTATATTTACAAGTGCAGCAGTAGCTCGGCAACAGTTTGGATCCGAAGCTGTGGGGTTGGAAGTCAACCAAAAATGGTCTGATCCCACCTACCACCTTGAAACCCCTGGCTCCTGACAAACTAATGCAGCAAATATCATGCAAATGCCGCACTGACTGTGGTGGGCGTTGTGGATGCAGGCACGCAGGTCTGTTCTGCAATCAAGTCTGCATCAACTGTGCCGATTCCTGCAATAACGTGGACGAAAGAACCAACCTCGAGGAGCAAGAAGACGATCCTCCGTTTGCTGCACCACTGTCAGAGGCAGGTGAGACTTCAGAAGGTAATTTATGCGTTATTTTACACTACACAAACTCAATAACGTTGCTTTCAGTTGAAGAACCGCCAACCCAGCCTGCCACTCCGAGTGCTGAAGAGCCTGAGCCTAGACCATCATCGTCCATTGAAAACCCTATTGCTATCAGGTATTTTTTTACATAGCATCTTCACAAAATACTTCAACAATGTACTTGCTCCAGCTGACTATATGGTCTTCCCACGATTTTTCCTCAAATATATAATGAGAAGTTACTTCTTTTATCTTGTAACTCTAAATATAATAAATGAGTAAATATGTTTTTTGTAAATGGGTACTGATTATTTCTTATTACATCATCATAATACTTATAAATCCTCAAGTCAGACTTGCAATAAAAGGAGGGGGAAGGAATTCAGGGTTGGGAAGGGGGTTTGAGAGAGGGGGAGTTGGTACTTCAATTTAGGTTGGGAGGAGGGGTTTAAGAGGTGGGGAGTTCATATAGACAGCGCAGAGTTGTTATTATTAAATCCCTGCATATTGGTAGTTTAGAGAAAAAATGGAGAAATGTCAGTACATGCGTATATACTGATCCAAATTTAAAATGTCGGTGCTCACTGAACGCAAAATTTGATGCTTTACAACTTTTGTTCTACGAGTTTTCCATGTAAAGTGGCTGTTTTCACATCACAGATCTCTAAAAGTGTGTTTTGTGCAGTTTTCACAAAAGTTGCTAAAAATTGGTTTTTTTTCGACTGACGATAGCGACTTTTAATCGGTCCAATTTAAAAGTTAGGGAGGTTTTTCGACGCAAAATTTTAGGTTCTTTAACTTTGAATAGAACGACATTTTCCGTACGACGCATCGTTTCTATGATATGAGCGGAAAACCAGCAAAACTCCGAAAATTTCGAGGATTTTTGCGATTTTCGACCTGAAGCGGCACTGCTGCGAGACAGTAAACTTCAGATTCGCGTTCAGCACCCCAAAAAACATATAATTCCGTTGATAAACTTTCATGTTACCGAAAAACTACCATTTGATCAGACTACTACTCAAACGGCAATTTCCGAGTTTGTTCAGCATGTTCTGAAGGATTTGGCGAATGGTAGGCTGGCTATTGGCCTATTCTTGGACTTGTCCAAAGCCTACGATTGTCTAGACCATGGGATAGTGCTGGACAAGCTGGAGAAATATGGAATTAATGGCCCTGCATTAGGGTAGTTCAAATCCTATCTTAAGGATAGGAAACAGGTTGTCAAAATATATAAAAATAATGAGGAAGGTAGATCTGTAGAAATAACATCTAATATAGGAATACCTCAGGGAAGTATAGTAGGTCCGTTGATTTTTATTATTTATGTGAATGAACTAAACAGCGTTATGGTTGAATGACAACTGTGTGCTAACCAATTATGTAGATGACACAAATAAATTAATACTCAATGAGAGCAAAACAAATGTGGTACTTTTTAAAACCAATTACAACAGAGATGAAATGCCAATAAATATTCAACAAAACAACTGTATATTTAAGATATCAACTAGTACCAAGTTTCTGGGGCTATATATTGATAGTTTCCAGTGTTGGGAAAGCCATGTTGAGTTTGTATGTACATAACTGAGCCAGATCTGTTACAGCATCAGAATTGTGAAGAAACATTTAGAATGGGATAGTTTAAATATGAAATACTTTGCAAATTTTGAATCCAGAATTAGATATGGGATAATATTCTATGGTGGGAGCAATTCAATTGAAAGGTTTTTTTTTAGTGCAAAAAAGAATAATGCGGATTATGCTCAGTTTGAATATAAGAGAGCCGTGTAGAGGAAAATTTAAAGAAAATAAAATCGTAACTGTGATAAGCATAAACATTCAGGAATGCTTATTTTTTTAAATTTAGAAATAGAGGTTTATTTTCAAATTTTGAATCAACGAATGCTTATATATTGAGGAATATAAATCTAGTATATCCAATACATAGGCTGACAGCTACAGAACATGAAGCAGGGTACAGCTGTGTAAAGTTGTACAATAAACTGCCTGATACAATAAAAAGATTAGCAAATGTTAAAGTATTTATAATGGAAGTACATGAATTGTTAATTAATTTAGAACCATATACGATTAATGAATATTACTCTATGTTATCATTAATATATTTTTCTTGACACTGTTTTGTTAAAGAATTGTCTTACTTGTATTATGATTGTTCCTTTAGATAGGTAAGTGAAAATTTTCATTTGGTACGTCAAAATAATGAATGCTATAATATACATGTTTTAATCGTTTGAAGAAGAAGAAAAAGTTTTATCCTACCTGCCCTATGGCCAATTCTGCATCCTGTATCTCGGAACATGATTCATGATACTCCTCGTACTCCTCCACGAAGTTCCTGGCGTCGATGAGGTTGTCGCTGGACGACGTTTGCATGATTTTCGGTACGTACAGCGTTGTGACCGTATCGGCGGTGTTGCATCGCATGCGCGTTTTGAATTCGGGAACCAATCGGGTCAGTTCCAGAGGACTTTCCGCTTTCTCTACCAATTTATCCAAATGAAGTTGATTTTTGTCGATTATTTCGACGGCCATATCGAGGATGCTATCGAGGATCGATATGACTATCGGCTGGATATCAGATCGGGTCGGATTTGTATTTTCTATAACAATATCAAATATATTATAACACTTCAGAGATTGCTTTATTCTTGTTGAGAGATTAGTAGAGTAGGAGACATAATATTTTCTGATAAAAAGATCAATAATTATATAACAATGGTGTAAAAGCAATGTACAACTAACTATTTAAAGAAATTATGAAATAAAAACTTTAGAAAATCATTATTTTCGAGTCAAATTAATTAATTTAACCTTCTACAAAAAATCAACATGTAACTTCAAGAATGACACATCTAAAGATAGGTGTAAGTGTAAGTAAGTCACCTACTTTCAATGCTCCTGATAGTATTTACATAAATTAACAATTTTAATAGCAATAATGATAATATTATAAAGAATACATATGTGACAAAATTAAAAACATTATGAACACAGTAGGAAACTTTAGGAATACATTTCTAAACCACCAAGTGTGAAAACAAACCTAAGAAGAAAAAAATCCTCGTTCTCTGTCGGGTTTGAAACTGCGATTTATGGTTTAGTCTATTAACTATTGGAAAAAAATGGTCCCTCTTCTACCGCAAAGTAATTATTATTTATTTTTAACTTTATGGTTTAACTGTAACAGCAAAAAAGCAACTTTTACATTTTTTCGTTTTTGTTTCAGGAAATATGAATTTTATTCAAAAAAAGTTTCAATCAAAAGTTGTTCATCACCAAAAAGGTCCTGTTACATTTTAAGTTAAAACAGCTTTAAGGAGAGTAAAAAGATGAGACACTACATTCATGCGCTCGCTAGATGACGCAGGTGACGCGCTGCTTCACCAAAATCTCAGTAAAATTAATAAACACATCAACTGAATAGCTAAATATTTCTTTTTCTGTAACATTTTTGTCCCTATACAAATTACAAAACAAAAACCTCCAAAACTATACCTAATTTCGGGGTATTTGGACCAGTGCATGAAACGAGGCGCTTGATAAAAAAATCCGACCGCCGCCGGGCTCACTTGTTTTTGGAAATATAATACAATAGAAAGATTTCCTAATCCGTGCGAACGGAGCGCTTGACGCGATATACATAAAACCGTCAAACACGCGTCTCTTCTATAGATGCGTTTATGATGGTTGCCTCCATTTTTTAGGTAAGGATGACTAGTTATTTTTTACTTAAAAGGATAGCAATACGGGGTGCGACTGTTGAGTTTTAGCTATGTGAGCCAAATTGTCGGCTGTGTCCTTTTTTTGGGGCACCCAGAACCGAAAACTATATAGTTATATATCATTTTTTTTATTTAGAATAACTTTTAATAGGTACGCAGCTTGGCTGAGGGTTTTAGAAAGAGATCCTAACACTGAAACGCTGACTGCCATAAATGCCGTTTTTAGAGCACATTTCATAGAAAGTGACTTTATTCTAGCAGGAACTAGCTATTTACCAGCTATTACTTTAAAACCTCGTTTCTTTAATAAGTTAATATTACTTCATTCTAAAGCATATATTAAAATAGTTTTTAACTTTTGTCCTTATGATTAGTTGAATTTATTGAACAAAACAAAATATTAAGTACAAGTCAATATGGTTTTAGGAAAAATCTTTGCAGTCAAGATGCGCTTCTAGACTTTGTGCAAAATATTATTAATGGTATTGACAACAATAAAAAATGCCTAGCGATATTCTTAGACTTAGCCAAGGCATTTGACACTGTTGATCACAGATTGTTTTTGGAAAGATTAGAAATAATAGGTATAAGAGGATTAACGTTGGACCTTTTCAGGGACTATCTATCACAGCGAACCCAGTTCGTTAGAATTGGTAGCCTACTTAGTGACCCAATTTACCATTTGTAGGGACGTGCCTCAGGGAACGGTACATTCTTCTTTTAATATACATTAACTGTATTTATAATATTAAAAATATAGGAAAAATTATTTCTTATGCAGATGATACTGTCATTATCTATAAGGGGGAGAGCTGGAAAGAAGTCTTTCTAAAAGCTGAGGATGGTTTGAGTAAGATAAAGATGTGACTTGATAATAGTCTTCTGAGTCTCAATGTCTCCAAAACAAAATTTATTACATTTTCACTAACAAATGCTGATCAACCAAATCAACAGATTTTAAAGCTTCACAATCATAACTGCAATAAAGGACCGATTTGTCAGTGTGTAACGATACAAAAAGAAAATAAAATAAAATATTTGGGGTTAATGGTTGATCAACATCTGAGATGGAACGAACATGTCATTTTTTTAAACAAGAGATTAAGAAAACTTATATATTTATTTTATCAAATTCGAGATATTCTTAAAAAAGAACTCCTACTACTTATTTATAATGCCTTGGCTGAGTCGCTGCTAAGATATGGCATTCTAATATGGGGTGGGCTTCTAGACAACGCTCTAGATGTGCTGGACTCGACACAGAATACGTTGTTAAAAATATTGTTCAGAAAGGACCTTAGATATCCAACAAACCTATTATATAAAGAATTAGACATTTTCAATATTAAACAACTATATATTTACCTAACATGGGCAATTTTTAATACTGAAAAACTTCCTAAGCTTTCACACACTGCTTCCACAAGAGCTCTACTAAATAAGCATATGCCACTTCCTCTTTTTAAAAAAATGCACACCCAAAACTTTATCTCGTATTTTGGTTCCAAAATATATAACCTAATTCCTACATACATAAAAAATATTACAAATGAACGATCTTTAAAAAATGAACTTAAAATATTTGTACAGAAAAACAACAGTAAAATTAAGAAGGAAATATTTAATGTTTTATATTAATTTCATGCTACATAATTACATATTCTTCAGTATCAGAGAGTAGCCTTTCTTTTCTTTTTCTTTATTAGTCTTGTATTTTATATTTTTATAATTTTTATTATTTTTGCTATTTTTATAATTTCTGCTAATTTTTATTTTTATAATTGTTTTGATTTTTGTATTTCCATAATTCTCTATCTTTTTATTTTTTTTTGTTGTATTTTAAAATTCTAAATTCTTTGTTTTTGTTTCTATAGTATATACTTAGATATAATTTAGACAGCATTTATAAAACGTAAAAAAAAAACTAATGTAAAGATTCCGCACACAAACTTTGTTTAGGCGGGTCTTAAAAAATTGTTAAAAAAATGTAAATTATTTTAATGAATAATGAATAAATTTGATTTGAAATTTGATTTGATTTGATTAAAAGATGCTGGTATTTTAGTTATGTTATAATAAAAATATTTGCTACATTGTATTGACCTGCTGGCCGCTAGCTATTCCACTTTTACTCCCTTTTTTCATAAATTGTCAAATTATTTAAAATGACATTAAAAAGGTAAAAATCGTATTTCTCATCTATTAAATTGTTATTAACGACAAAGACTACTTTTAATTTATTAAAACAAAAATAAAACCTGAATCGATAACTTAAATCACTGAAAATAAGTTGCTTGAGATGGGGTCGTTTTTAAGGAAAATTTTAATTTTATTACTTTACTAATAAAACTAAAGTTAATTTATCTTACCGCGTTTTATTAAAATGTAAATGTATTACCCTAATGAAATTAATGCCGCTAATCAAGGTTTTAGATCTCGTCACTTTAACATTTTTATGCTCCCAGTTGATATGTGTGTATAAAAAGATCTATTGTTTTTATCAGGCTTAACACTCTCTATTAGATCCTTCTTGGAAAAAGCCTCCAGACTTTTATCACAGACGTTTATCTATTAAATTACTTTTAAAACATACATTTGTTATTCTTAGAGTAAGAAATAATAAAAATCTGTCGATACTTAAAGCATTTAAATTTGGTTTTTTGAGATAGGTGGCTCTGATTCCATATAAAATGTTTCCATATTTTTAAAAATAAGTAACTGCCCTAATTTCTAATTTTTGACATTCCCGCATATGGTAAAAAATGTGAAATTTATTACTTAGTGGTATGGATACACCTTTAGGAAAATATAACGGAAGAGTTAAATGGATTTTCTTCTTGTTGAAGTTAAAAATACTAATTTCTCATGATTTAAAAACAAATATATGAAATGGCCAAAATAGGTCTGCAAAGGCACCTGTATCATTGTGATGTAATGCGCGAATTCAATTTGACTTACTTTTGTTAATAGAGACTGGTGTTCCATTTTAAATATACAGTTCACTGGGCAAAGATTCTTTAATTATACACCGACTGGAAAAATAAGTATGAAAAAAAATTCACTGGCTCCTGGACTATTACTGTATCGAAGGAATTTAATGAATGAAACAAATCTACGACCCTACTTACAAATACTACAATAACGATCAAGCCTAGTTACGCTGTTGTCAGACGTAATTTTTTTTTGGATAATTTAAAGACTAAACAGTATTGCAAGCATACTTGGCATAAATGTTTTATCCAAATATTGCATTTGTGTCGAGAATCATCCGCGTTGGCTCCAGAAATTTTGTAAACAATCCTCTCTTGGTTATATATCTACAGATATAAATTAGTATATATGGTTATAAAATAAAATAAAATAGCGTATTAGTGTACATAAATTAAATAACGTCATAGTATTATCCTTTTAATTACAATTTGTTTAAAACCAGGAAAACTGTAGAGATCAGAAGAAAATGAGATGAAGAAAGTTTCATCAAAATTAATTTTTTATCAATTGTATTTTTGCTTGTTTTGTGTAATAATCCTATTTCAAAGGATTTTTTCATATTTGTCGTCCTTGATTTTAGGAAGTTTGTTCAATTTGTTCAATAAAGTTCGCGATAGAGTCTTTTTTTTAAATACCACATATTTCAGTTTGACCCTCCATATGACCGTAATCGTTAATTTTAGCTTAAAATGTAACTGAACCATTTTTGTAGGCAATTTTAAGATGAACAGCTGTAGTTTGAAACTTTTTTTGGATAAACTACATAATTCACATACCTATATGACAAAAATTGTAGAGAATGACATTATGGACACTCTTATTTATAGAAATTTCTTCTATAATCATAACAGAAATAAAATTTAAGATAGTAAAATGCCTACTATTAC